AGCGGACAGCTTTCCCGCACGGTCCGTTATGATCATGGAATCCTAGGGGTCCATTCCGTTCCTCTTTACGCCTCATCCATGCACCCTCCTCGAGTTCCGACTGGGCTGGACTCCGGCATCGGGGCAGTGACTGACAGCGTCTGTGTTCCGCCCAGCACCGATGGACAGCAGGCTGGCTGGCACAGCGGCGTGCACCTTCCTCGCGCATGGGCAGACTCAGCTTGGCCACTGCAACTGGCTGGCACCCGGATGTCTGTACAGAATAAACTCCAGGTAGGCAGGAAGTTGGAAACTGCAAGAGGAAAAGTAGCTTCTATGGAAAGGAAGGCCTCGGAGCAGTCTGTTCCATGGGGCTCAGAGTGTGGAAGAAACCTCAGAATATACATATACTTTTAAAAAATTATTTTGTTTTTATTACAAAGTCAGATATACATGGAGCAGGAGAGACAGAGAGGAAGATCTTCTGTCTGATGATTCACTTCCCAAGTGAGTGCAATGGCTGGAGGTAGGCTGATCCAAAGCCAGGGCCAGGAGCCTCTTCTGGGTCTCCCACGGGGGTGCAGGGTCCCAAGGCTTTGGGCCGTCCTCGACTGCTTTCCCAGGCCACAGGCAGGGAGCTGGATGGGAAGTGGGGCTGCTGGGATTAGAACTGGCTCCCATGGGATGGTGGCACCACAGGACAGGTCCCTGTGGTTTTCAACCTGCTGCACCCATGCATGCAGAACTGTGGCTCCCGAGGGCCGACAGGTGTTATGTGTCCCTCCTGGCAAAAGCAAGGAGCCCGCAATGCAGCCCCTGGCCAAGGCCATCGGGGACAAAGCCTCACTGGACCGGTGCAGGACGTCCTGGAAGGGAGCTAGCCGTGCCCAGCCAGACACCCCGGGCACTTCCCTCTCCCAGCAATCCCGCTTCTGGGAAGTTACCCCGCAGCCACACCCCCACCACCTTCTCTTCATTCTCCTCTCAAGAAGGGACTGGACCAGCAAGTCACTCTAAGGGACAGTGCTGCTGGCTCCTGTGTTCTAGTCCCCGGGAAGGTTGTGCACCTCCTTGTGGGCAGCCGCGGAACTGCAGGCAGCCTCAAGGGGAACTGGGGTTGTCAGGCCTGCAACCCACAGGAACAGCCTTGTCAGCTGCCGGTGGGGAGCGTGGGGGGCAGGAGGAGGCTGCCCGCCTGACTGGCACTACATTGAGTTGTGGATAGAATCAGCCGCACCCAGGGGTGCAGGGAGGAAGATGGTTAACAGCTACTGCCAGGAGGCAGCGTAGGACTGTGCACTGTGCACCGTGGAAGGAGAGCTCCATGCGAGGTGGCCGTGCACCGTGGAAGGAGAGCTCCATGCGAGGTGGCCGTGCACCGTGGAAGGAGAGCTCCATGCGAGGCGGCCGTGCACCGTGGAAGGAGAGCTCCATGCGAGGCGGCCGTGCACCGTGGAGCCCAGGAGGGAGAGCTCCATGCGAGGTGGCCGTGCACCGTGGACCGAGAGCTCCATGTGAGGTGGCCGTGCACCGTGGACCGAGAGCTCCATGCGAGGTGGCCATGCACCATGGAAGGAGAGCTCCATGCGAGGTGGCCGTGCACCGTGGACCGAGAGCTCCATGCGAGGTGGCCGTGCACCGTGGACCGAGAGCTCCATGCGAGGTGGCTGTGCACCGTGGACCGAGAGCTCCATGCGAGGCGGCCGTGCACCGTGGACCGAGAGCTCTGCACCAGGTGCCACCCCCACTGGGAAGCGCATCTCTACGGGGACAGTGAGTGATTCTGATGGTGCGTCCTGCTTGTCCTGCTTCGTTTAGGATTCTGCTGAGAAGTCAGCCTTCCTCCAGGCAATGGAAGCCTGGATCCCGGCTGGCAAGACCAGAGATGACAAAGAGGTGGGGACAGCACGAACGCAGGCCTCAGGAAGCACACAGCCAATAGGTCACATGTCCCTGCTCCACTGTGAGTCAGTGTGAGAAGAGGCCCCTGACTCACAGCGCACGTGGCTCTTCTGTCTGCTCAGGCGTCCTTAGGGAGATGCCAGCCCCGTTGCCCTGTGCACTCCAAGGGCCTAAGCCTCCACTGTGGTGGCAGCATCCCGCTTGGACTCCACTGCTAACCCCGCCCCCTGCTGTGACTTGGGGTGGAAGTGGAAGATGGCAGTCCTTAGGCCCTGCACCTGTGTGGGAGATCTGGAAGAAGCTCCCAGTCCCTGGCTTCAGCCCAGCCCAGCTCTGGCCGTCGCGGCCACTTGGGGAGTGAACCAGTGATGGACGAGCTGTTTCTCCTTCTCTCTGTAAACTGTGCCTTTCAAATAAATCTTTCAAAACAAAACTAAAGGGAGTGATGCAGTGTTGGGAAGATCCCCGGTGGGCTTGGAGCCTCGGGGGGTCCAGGAATTGAGGCTGCGATTGCAAAAGGGGGCCGGCCTGAAGATGCCCCAGCGGCCCATGCCGGGATGCTGTGAGTGCCTACAGTGGTCCTCGGTAGGAATCCTCAGGCTCAACTGAGCCCCTCTCCCCGGAGCCACTGTCCTGCAAGATGGAAGGGAGCCTGCAGGCATGCACGCCCACCAGGAGCTGCACAGCCCCCCAAAGGAAACAGAGACTCTGTCGTAAACAGGAACTGCCATTAGCAAGTGTTAGGGCATAAGGCTGGGATGAGCGAAGATCAGGGAGAGTGGAGCTGGAAGCTTATTTCGGTGTAAAAGATTCCTGTGTCATGCATGGGTTTTCCTTACCCTACGCACTGGTCACAGCTTTCCGAGGGCAGAGCATGGTAAGGAAGTGTGTGTTGCAGGGCAACTTGCCCCCGGCCTGGCAGCGTCAGTCCACACAGGGAAGCCCAGCTGCCTCCACCCCGTGCACAGGACTGCGAAAGAGGCAGGCACTGTGGCGGGCCCACTCCCCACGGCGCCTGACAAGGCCTGCGCTCTGTGCTGCTGGATTCCACGCCACCACGGGCAGGGCTCGGAGGAGGCCTGAGGTGGGTCGCATGGTCAGGCAGGCTCGGAGGTGAACCCAGCCCTGTGCCAGTGGACTCCCTGGGCTGCCCCCCAGGCAAGGCCATGAACAACAACCCCAGTGAGCGGCACCCAGTGAGCGACAGCTGGCTGATGAGAGCAGCCCGGGGTGTGAGGATCCCAGGACGCTCCCCTAAGCCACGCAGTTTTTGTGCCAACAGCCATGGTAGCAAAAACACTGGCTTGTACTTGGGCCTCAGCTCCTGCTCTAATACAAGTGTGGGCGTTTCTCGACCTGTTGGGGTTCTCCCAACCTGGGTGGGAGAAAACGGAGAATGGCCCTTGCAGGAGGCCTGTGGTTGCAGCAGAGCCGGCGTAGCCCTCGGCCTCCTTCCTCCTTCCTTGTTTGGTCCACTCGGGCAGGACGGGGCGGCCCAAGACAGTGGCAGCCCTGCACGGGAGGCTCCTACACAAGTTAGGAATAAATGGCAGACTTGCTGCCCTGTAGCAGCTGGGCAGGATGGCAAGATTTGCACAGCACTGCCACAGCCACCTGTGCCTGCTTTGCCTGAGATCCGAGGTGGTGATCCTGGCCTGGGGTGGACGTGGGGGTGCTGTGGCCGAGCAGCTCCCCCTTAGAGCCGACCCCGCCCCAGCACCTGCTGGCCATCACACAGTCCCTGGGGGAGGACGGTTGGTGGCGATGTGGCGCCCCCTTGTGGCGTCACGGGATCTGTGCAGTGCGTCCCTTTCATCCACTGACAGACACTTTGGCCTGCTGTTAATGTGAATAAAGTCTCCAAGCCTTCTTTTGCCTGCACAGACGTGGTCGGGAAGGGAGGATGCAAGGCCGTGTGTCCCTGCCGCAGCCCCTGAGCTGTGCCGCTCACCATTGTCATCTGAGGGCTCTCGACAGGCTCTGAGACATGGCCGCTTTTGGTTCAGCAGTGAAGATACGGGCAGCCCAGGTTGGAGTGCCTGGGGTTCAAGTCTGGCTCTGCTTCCCGCCTAGCTGGGGCTAACGGGTGGCCCAAGTGGCGGCAGGTGGCGGCTGGGTCCTCGGGTCCCTGGCAGCAGTGAGGGGGACCAGGCGGAGTTCGGGGCTCCTGGCTTCCGTCATGGAGTAGTGAGCAAGCAGATGGAAGCCCTCTGTGTGTTTCTTTCCGCCTCTCAAGTCAATAAAAGCAGATTCTCGTGTGACTGTTTGCCATGCTAACTCTTTTCTACTCATTGATGCAAAAAAAAACCCCAAAAATCCTGTGACACACATCCGCTGCACACAATGCAGCCACGTCCCAGCGTTCTGGCCACGATTCAGTACCCCTCTTACATAGCGGGGACTTCCTCACGGGGCGGCACCTCCAGCAGGTGGTGAAGCCACTGAGGGGCCAGCATGGTTCAAGTCCCACCCGGCACCCAGGTGCCTGGGCCCCTGCACCCGCGTGGGAGGAGCCCCCGGAGAACCGCTTGGCTCACCCTTGCAGCCCTGCCCGCTGGGGCCACCCAGGGAGGCCGAGGATGGCAGCGCTGCCTCAGAGAGGTACGCAGCAACAGCAGAGGAAGGGGCCCTGAGAACCCAGGCACTCAGGCGGGTGTGGGGGGGTCCGCAGCTGCAGGCCCCCGGGGGCAGCCGGCCCCTTCCTTCCTTCCCCGGGACTGACACCGAGGAGACACCGAGGTCCCATGGCTGGCTCACTCCTCAGGCGGTCAGAGCTGAGCCGACCCCGAGGTCTCCCGCAGGCCTGCAGGGCCGTCCTCCCCGGCCGGGACGCGAACCGGCGCCCGCCCGGGATGCCGGCGCTGCAGGCCTAGGACGAGGTGGCAGCGCCCGGGGTGTTGTCCTGCGGCCCTGGCCGTCCCCTCCCGCGGCAGGTGAAACGGCCAACGCCCATTTACACCTGACAAGCGGGTGTCTCCGGAAGCGGAGCCGCCAGGCTGCTCCCCGGGGCAGGAAGAGCCCGCACGCCCCGAGTCACGTGGGCGCGCGGAGGCAGTGCGCAGGCGCTCCGTCCCTGGGGGTGGGGCTCCGCACTGGGGAGCCGGAAGCGGACGTTCCAGGCTTCCGGCGGCTATTTGCGGGGTTCGCGTCCGGGTTTGCGGGGTTGCGGACGGGCGGCCGGCGGCCGGAGTGCGGCCATGGACAAGCTGCGGCGGGTCCTGAGCGGCCAGGACGACGAGGAGCAGGGCCTGACCGCGCAGGTAGCGGCCCGCCCGGGGAGGGGGACTCGGGGGGCTGGGCGGGTCTCCCCTAAGTCCTCCGGGGTCCCCGCTGGCCCTCAGCGCCGACCGCCTGCTGGACGCGGCGTCCACGGCGCGCAGGTGCACCGGCCGCCCCGGAGAAGGGTGTGTGGGAAGTGGGGAGGCCGCCCGAAGCCAGGTCATACCGAGTGAGGCGTTGGTAAGGCCGTGACTCTCGGTAGTTTTTATTTTAGAATGATTATTGTAAAAATCCTGTGTGTGCGCGTGTGTGCTTCGTCCGTGCGACTCCCCAGGGTCATTTCCTCCAGTCGGAAGCCGGGCCGGGTTCTGCTATTTGCATCCTGAGCAGATCCTGTCTTCCCTGGGGCTTTTGTTGACCTTTGTGTTGAATGCTGCTCCTTCCCGCCTGCCAGCCGAGCTTGGTCCAGGTCTCCCACTGAGTGGCACGGACCCCAATCCCCACGAGGGGCATTGGGGCTGCCGCCCCGACACGCCATGCTGAGTTCCCCAGCGTGCCCCATGTGTGCACCATGGTCCACTGCCGTTTACACGGCTGAGCGCCTGGCCCCTCAGGGTGCTCAGCGGGTTCCTGTGCTGGAGGAAGTTCTTTAGGGGCCCTGAAAGCGGTACTGTCACTTGCTGGGAGCCGGCTGTCCAGAGGGAAGACAAGCTAGGTGGAGAAGGATTGGCGTGGAGCAGAGGGACAGTGCCGTGGACAGATGCTTTGGCCTGAGGAGGGCCGCCGTCCTGCCTGCAGGTGGTTGGGTGGTGGTGTGCTGGGAGGGAGAAGGCCGTCTCAAAAGGACAGGAGATGACAGGATGGCTGACAGGAGTCACCATCTGCTGTGTGCCACGCAAGGGTCCTATGCCTGGGCTCCAAGCTGTAGAGCACCTTGGGACACGGCCTGAGGTGCACAGCCCTGGGAAGGAGGGTCCCTTGGGGCTGGGTGTGAATGGGGTGAAAGGGGAAGGCAAGCTGAGGGGCCTGTGCTGGCCATTCAGGCGTGGATGTGCTGTGTACTGCACGGGCTGCAGTGTGTGACTGTGTGGGGTATGGAGTGTGGCTGGGTGGTGCTGTGTGTACGTGGACAGCCTGCTGGCCATGTGGTGCAGAGTGTGGCTGGGTGCTGTGTGTGCATGGACAGCCTGCTGGACATGTGGTGCAGAGTGTGGCTGTGTGCTACGTGGTCCTACAGTGTGCTGTGGCTATTCACTGTGTGGCTGTGTGGTGCAGTGAGTGTCAGTGCCTGCAGTGTGTAGCTGTGCAATGCAGTGTGGGCCGTGCAGTGCAGTGTGTAGCTGTGCAGTGCAGTGTGTGGCTGTGTAGTGCAGTGCTGTTGGTCGTGTCGTGCAGCGTGTGGCTGTGTAATGCAGTGCGGTGCTGTTGCTGGTCGTGTCGTGCAGTGTGTGGCTGTGCAGTGCTGTGTGTAGCTGTGCAGTGCAGTGTGTGGCTGTGCAGTGTGGCTGTGTGGTGCAGTGCATAGCTGTGCAGTGCAGTGCGGGCCGTGCAGTGCTGAGTGTAGCTGTGCAGTGCAGTGTGTGGCTGTGCAGTGCAGTGCTGAGTGTAGCTGTGCACTGCAGTGTGTGGCTGTGCAGTGCAGTGTGTAGCTGTGCACTGCAGTGTGTGGCTGTGTAGTGAGGTGCAGTGTGTGGCTGTGCACTGCAGTGTGTGGCTGTGCAGTACAGTGTGTGGCTGTGCAGTACAGTGTGTGGCTGTGCAGTGCAGTGTGGCTGTGTAGTGAGGTGCACTACAGTGTGTGACTGTGTAATGCAGTACGGTGTGGCTGTGCACTGCAGTGTGTGGCTGTGTAATGCAGTACGGTGTGTGGCTGTGCAGTGCAGTGTGTGGCTGTGCAGTGCAGTGTGTGGCAGTGCAGTGTGGCTGTGCAGTGCAGTGTGTGGCTGTGCAGTGCGGTGTGGCTGTGCAGCGCGGTGCTGTTGGTGCCCGTGTAGTGCGTTATGTGGCCATGCAGTGCAGTGTGATGTTGTGATCCTTTGTTGGAGTCTGGGAGGAGACAGCCTTCCATGAGGCCCCTTAGGGGGACCCTGTGTCACTGCTCGGCTGGGTCAGGCAGCGAATGTCTCCCCGGATCCCTAAGGTGCTGCCTAGCCCTCTCTAACAACCATGACAGTGTTGGGAGGTGAAGCTCCAGGGAGCCTTGGGATGGGGCTAGTCCTCATGTCCCAGCGGCCCCAGGGAGACCCCACACTTCTCTTACCTCACGAGATGGGAGTGGCAAGGTGCCATCTGAACCTGAGGGTGGTCCCTGGGCACACAGGGCCAGCAGAACTGTGAATAGCAGCTGCTGCCCCCCACACCCGGTCATGCAGGCTGAGTTGGGTAATGAATGAGCCTGTGCAGGCAGAGGCAACTCAAGGGAACGCTTGGTGTCCCGTGGACAAACCTTAGATAATTCCCTGGAGAAAACCTGGCCAGGCAGCCAGGCTTACCTGGGCCGCGGGCACAAACACCCCCTCACTGGGAGGATGAAGGATCCGGTGAGGGGTGGGAGCTGCTTGGGTGTCAGCCAGGGGTGGGGGTGGGGACTGCCCGTAGGAGCTGCAGTGTGGTGGGAGGTAGGAGTGGGCACTGTGGGGGGGAAGTGGAGGTGTGGAGGAGCCAGGGCTTGGAGTGAGAAGCCGCAGTGTAGGTGCCAGGCAGGTAGGGGCCCTGGCTGCCCCACCATTCAGAGCCTAGGAAGAAAGGCTCCAGTGGGCTCCAGCGGACCTGGTGGTTTCCTGGGATAGGGCGGCTGAGGTGGGGACCTTCAGACACCTTGGGACAGGAGGAGCTGGGTTGGCGGGGGACAGTCCCTGGGCATGAGGGCATGAGGCTCAGGCCAGGCTAGCTGTGTGTGGGGTCCGTGGCGTGGATCCTAGACAGTTCCTGGGACCTGGCCAGGAGTCCTGCATGAGGACAAGTGCTACAGCGAGGGTGGCTCAGAGAATGTGAGCTCCAGGCAGGCAGTATTGGGAAGGGGGACAGACAGTGTGAGTCCAGGCAGTGCAGTGGGGCAGGCAGTGTGAGTCCAGACAGTGCAGGGGGGCAGGCAGTGTGAGTCCAGGTGGTGGGGGTGGGGCAGGCAGTGTGAACCCAGGCAGTGGGGGTGAGGGAGGCAGTGTGATCCCAGGTGGTGCGGGACGGTGTGAGCCCAGGCGGTGGGGGACGGTGTGAGCCCAGGCGGTGCGGGACGGTGTGAGCCCAGGCAGTGGGGAGAGGGTGTGCTGTGACTTTGGAAGAGATGCAGAGAATGGTGGGTCAGCCTGTGGTAGTGGAAGTCCCCTGAGATGGGGTACCCCAGGGAGGGGGGCTCATTGCCTCCCGGGACAGCCTCACCAGGGGGACAGCCTCACCAGGGACAGCCTCACCGGGGGGACAGCCTCACCAGGGACAGCCTCACCAGGGGGACAGCCTCACCAGGGAAAGCCTCACCGGGGGGACAGCCTCACCAGGCGCAGTGACTGCTGGGAGCCCTTGTCCTTGCCGTGTTTTTTTGTTCAGTGAGGACCAGCTGACCACAGGGCAGGCCTCCTCCGAGGGTGCCTGCTCTGCCTCGGCTTCCTGCATGAGCAAACACAGCAAATTGTTCAAGTCATTGGTGACAGTTTGGTGTAGGGTGGTCATGATTGTTCTTAAAATGTATTTATTAATTTTTATTTGAAAGGCAGAGTTACAGAAAGGAGAAGCAGATTGCGGATCACCCATCTGCTGGTTTACTCCCTAAATGGCTGCAGTGGCCAGAGCTGAGCCCATCTGAATGTAGAGGCTTCCTTTGGGTCTCCCATGCAGGTGCAGGGTCCTGACTTTGGGCAATTCTCTGCTGCTTCCCCAGATCATAAGCAAGGAGCTTGATTGGAAGTGGAACAGTCAGCGCACGAACCAGTGCCCATATGGGATGCCAGAGCCACGGGCGGAAACTTAACTCATATGCCACAGTGCCAATCCTCAAGACAGGTGGCATTTTAGGGTGTCTGTGTCTGTTTTGAGGCGAAAGATTCAGGATGCCAAGTTGCTGGCTTTGGTGGGACTGCCCTGCCACTGCTCACGTGGCTTTCCTTCTCACTAAATTTGCCTTTTCAAAAAAAAAAAAATCTTAAAAAATAAAGAAAATGCAGCCAGCTGCAGGTGCCCTCCTGGAGCTGCTGGGCTCTGCCAGGCTGGGATCTTGCCCGCTGACTCGCCGGGCTCAGCTTCCCTGGCCTTGTTTCTGAGAGAAACTCTTGGCTGGTGGGTGAACTTACGGAGGGCAGCCCTTGGGCAGGGCTTGTGTTTTGAATACTGTCAGGTGGAGGAAAGCAGTGGAGGAGAAAGATGGAGTGGAAATAACCGCCGTGTTGTTGCTGGGAGAACAAGCTGGCCGTTGAATCCCCGCAGCTCAGCTTGGGAACAATGGGTGGTTTCCAAGTGGTGCAAGAAAGGAGAAGTAGCGACGTGTCTGAACTCAAGTGAACCTGAGAAACCACAATTGAAAATAAGGAATGTTTTGTTTTCTTTTGTGTTTTGTGGTTTTCATCAGAGCTGTTTTACATCTTGCTTAGCTGTATCTCCAGGCGTTCTAGTCCTTTGTGGCTGTGACTCCCGTAGTTCTCAGGCGTACGTTTGGCAGCACTGTTGTGTGTTCATCTTGTTTCCTGCAATCTTGCCGAGTCCGCCTGCAGTTCTGATAGTCGCTTTCGGACTCCTCCCCTTCCGCAGCGTGGCCGGCCGTGTCCTCTGCAAGCAGGGATGTTCTGAGATCCTCATTTCTGTTTCTTGCCTAATGGCTCTGAACTTGCAGAACTACAGTGAGTAAACGCCCCGAGCAGACATAATACTACGGCTTTTCGCCATTCTGAGCAGTGTTGACTGTGTGGGTTTGTGCGTTGCCTTTGTTGTGTTTTCAAGTTGTCATGGGACAGTGTTGTGTTGCCATCCTGCCTGTGTGTGCTGAGATAATTATGCAGTTGCCATGCTTCATTCTGCTTGTGTGATGTGTCACTTACTGGGTTGGGCCATCCTGGACCGTCTGTTTTAAAGGGACAGTACAGTTGTTTGTGTTCACGGTATGCACCATGATCCTTCGATTTGACTGCATTGTGAAATGATTCAACTTTGCCCCTTTTCTTTTTTAAATTAATTTTTGAGTTTGTGTAAAGTGAGCTAATTCATGCATTTCCCAGTCTTTAAAGCAGAACTTCGGGGCACTTGCCCCACGATGCGCTTTAGCTGCTCTCTGCTCCGTGCGTTGGCGTGTGCCCGGGCGGGTCCCGCGCACGGGGCAGACCAGCCCAGCTGCCGCTGCTGTGGGTAGAGCAGTGGGCACTCGGCGCTGGGGCAGGCAGGCGTGCGTGCGTGGAGCCGAGGTAAGCAGCGTTTTAAGTGTGTCCCCGCGGAAGTGTTGAGAGACCTTCAGCTTTTGTTTTCTGCTTTTCATGCTGCACGTGGACCGCAGAGTGAGCTGGCGAGGTAAGGAGTGTGACCCCTGCTGGGACAGCTCGCCTGGCCACCTAAGGGTGTCCACACAGCCACCGGCAAGTGCAGCTGGGGTTTATGCAGCATCTAGGAGCGTTGTTGCTGAGGTGTAAATTGTCTGTACGATTGGGGGCACTCGAGGCTTTGCTGAGATGGACTGCAGGGAACTGTCCATGATGGAAACTGTGGCAGCACCCGCGGGCCTGCTCAGCGCCCTCCTGTGGGCAGCACCGGGCCTCTGCTGCCCATGGCGGAGACCCTGATGGGTTCCAGCTGTGCCTGGGTTCTTGTACCTCTCTGGGATGTTCTTGCCAGGTTAGCATGGAGGGGATTGGCACTGGAGCAGCCAGGTTTCAGCTGGCATGCTGACAGGAAATGCTGGCACTGCACTGTGTCACATGATAGGAAGTGCTGGCACTGTGCACTGATGTCACGTGGGGCACAGTGCTGGCCCAGCAGGACACGTTTTCCTCATGTGTCTCATGCATTCCGTCCTTTGATCCCTGTTGGTGTGCACCGAAGGGCTTGGGGACGCAGGCACATGGTCAGGCCTAGCAAAGCCTTCCAGTGTCCCTCGGTCGCCCCGGATGTGGCCCTGGCCCGTGCGGGGCGTGCGTTACAACAGCTGCTGTCTTTATGTGGTGTGGGGTGAGCGGTCAGTGGCGGTGGGAGCGTGTGTCCCAGCTCTCTCGTCTCCCCAGGTCCTGGACGCCTCGTCGCTCAGCTTTAGCACCAGAGTGAAGTGGTTTGCCATCTGCTTCGTAGCTGGCGTCTTCTTCTCTCTCCTTGTGAGTTAAAGCTTGTTTTTGCCTACTCGCTTTTGTTTTGTGTTAGACCAGCTGTCCGTTTGATGCTGGGCAGTGTCTCGCTCCCTGGGGACGCTCTTGGTGGGACATGTCTCAAGGGCTGCAGATCACTTCTTGAAAATGCAGAAATATTTTTGGAAGTTTTGCATGCTGAAATAATTTTACTTGAGAGAAGTCTGTTAGGATAGCAGCCCATCGAGTGGCCTCAGCACGCACCTGCTTGTTGTAACTGCATTTGAAACATGTAAATGGAGTGGGATTGCTACGAGTAGAGGTGCGTCAGGGCAGGTCGGCAGGCTAACGTGGTGGTATTCAGCATGATCTGGTGATGTTTGCTTATCCGACTGCTGTCCATAGCACATTCATGTGTTAAGCTGTTTAACTGTACCGTCTCACCTAGGGAACTGGCCTGCTGTGGCTGCCCGGGGGCGCGAAGCTCTTTGCTGTGTTTTACACCCTTGGGAACCTCGCTGCCTTGGCCAGGTAGGTGTGCTGCCATGGCCATGGGGCCCTTGTCAGAGGCACCCGCTCCTGCAGGGCAGCTGCTGGCTGCATGTCCGTCTAGCGGGTGTGTCCTGGCTCTTGCTTGCTCACTGCCATCACAGTGTCAGTGGTGAGAGTGGCCTGGGGCCCTTGCTGGGGGTCAGTGACTGCACAGTTTCCCTGCACTCTAGTGAGTGCATGGGCAGCTGCCGTTCCCCCGCTTGTACCTGGAGGTGGCAGCCCAGAGCAGGCATGAGGCTGGTGGGTCGCAGACAGTGGCCCCAGACTCGGGGCTGCTGCACCCCAGGGCCAGCCGTGGGGCTCAGGGCAGTGGTGACGTCATCTCTCTTCCGCTGGCATGCCACCCTTCCCGTTACTGAGCCTTTAGAATCCCGGTTTGGAATAGGTACCCCACATGGGGGCCATGGCCTTTAATATTGCTGCTCTGTCAGTACCACCGGCATGTCACACACAAGTATTTTCTCCTCATACGTAGGCCTGCGTGGCCGCCCATGCCCGTAGCGTCGTCATGGGATGGCTGTGCCCCATTTTATTCTTCATCTTCAAGTCCCTTATTTTCATGGGCCACGCCTATAATCCCGTAACAATCCACCAGATATAGAATGACCCCCCGCGTTATTTATTCTTACCCTTCTTACTAGTCAGACCGTTCTATCTTTTCCCCACGCCCTATTGTTCATTCTTTTCTCCCTCGTTTTTTTCCCTTTTTTCTAATTCTTCTCACTCTTCCCCCCAATACCCCCTTCTTATCCTATCCCACTTATCATTATGTTATTATTCCCTCCCTCGTACCATTTATTATTGCTTATCCCCTCACTATTTTCTTTTACTTCATCCCTTCTTACTCAATACCATCCTACATAACCCCTTCCTATAACACACATCCCCCCTATTTAACTTTTACTTTCCCTTTACACTTCTACATTTTTTCACAGTTCCATTGCCTTTAACATTAGGGGAGAAAAGATAGATTTATTGTGAGATTTTTTTCCTTAGTTTAGGGTTTCTTTTTGAAACTGTTCATTTGTGCATAGCCAAATTAGCATGCTCAACTTTTGCGTTTTGTTTTTTTCAAATAGCACCTGCTTTCTGATGGGACCCGTGAAGCAACTGAAGAAAATGTTTGAACCGACAAGATTGCTTGCCACTGTTGTTATGCTTGTAAGTGAGCAGTGAGCGGTGGCAGCTTTGCCGTGTGGACTGCTGACCGCAGCTAGAGTCATTGTTTCCGAACGCGGGCATGGAGTGCTCCAGGCGGTGTGCGCCTTGCGTTACAGGTGTCTGCTGAGGCCGCCCTCCTGTCCCTCCTCCCCACCCCTGCGGCCACTCTCGTCCTGTCCCAGCTGCCCCGCTGCCCCCGCAGGCTGCTGATCGGAGGCGCCTGTCCGCGGGAGGAGTGACCAGCTTGGCTAGGAACTGTGGGGGTTTCTGTTATGGCTGGAGACTGGGAGGGGGACTGTGGCTGGGTGGCTGTTGAGCTGTGAGCGTGTCACTTCTGCATGATTTGGGTCTTCTTGGCCAGAGCCAGCATTCCTCAGCATCTTCCTGCTTGAGTGACGTCTCCTGGCGTGGCTTCGCACGCTGCGCCCCGCGCTGTGGCCTCCGCCCCGCAGCTCCGCGAGTGTGAGCCGAGTGTGAGCCGTCGAGCCCGGGCCGGAGGGGACAGGCAGCAGAAGCCAACACGTAGCAGGACCGTGTCTGTCACCTTACTTTTATTACATTTTTAAAGATTGATTACTGAGAAGGGGGGAGCGAGAGAGAATCTTCCCTCTGCTTTACTCCCCAAGCGGCCGCAGTGGGCAGAACCGTGCTGATGTGAAGCCAGGAGCCAGGAGCCTCTTCTGGGTCTCCCCACGGGTGCAGGTCCCTTGGCCACAGGAGGGAGCTGGAAGGGAAATGGGGCGGTGGGACACCAGCAGTCACCCACGTGGGATCCGGGCTCCTCTGCCACCAGCTCCGTGGTTTGGGTTTATACCAGCTCGTATCCCAGCATGCCCGAGCTCTGAGATGTCATTGGCTGCTCTGCCTTTCAGCAATTGGAATGAGCTTTTTGGACCCAATTCATATGCGTTAATTGAGAAAGAAGGGCTTTTTAGGGATAATTGCCAGTTTTCTATTTGGAAAAAAATATTCTTTTTTAGTTTTTCTATTTTTTGTGTGTTTTTGTTTGCTTTCGTATCTTACTAACTTGCGCTTATTTTGAATTTTATATTAACATATGTGTTAATATTCAACTTTACCTGGGTGACTAAGCATAAATTATTTCACACTGTGAGCCGTAAGAAGTCTGTATTACGCTAAGATTTTGCCTGGATTTGTTTATTGAAATGTCCCAGCACTTGCCCCTGGGCATGTTGTACCATACCCAAACAAGTGATGGGCTTGGAGGTGCTAGAGCTTTTAAGAGAGAGTGACTGGGCAGGTGTGAGGTGCTGGAACTTGGTGCAGACTCAGCGTTCCCGCAGTGCCTGCGTGCGGTGGTCGCCGTGCCTGCATGTGGTGGTCACCATGCTGGCCGCTGTGAGCGTGAAGAGCTGCAGCCTCCCAGCACCGCCCTCACTTCAGGCCCCTCCTGGGCCGGATGTGCCCTTTCCCCTGTGTGGCTCCTCATTCAGAGGGAGCTGACCAGGTCCAGGTGGGAGAACCTCAGGCAGCAGGTGTCCAGCTCTGGATGTGGCTATAGGTGGAGGGACGGTGTGGAATGGGCACTCCCTCTTTGTGCATGGAGCTTAGTAATGTGGAAGCTAGCCGAGGATGCTGCAGGCTTCCGCGCGTCCCCAGCGTCAGCATCCGGGGAGGGCCACGCTGCACACAGGTGCATACTCATCGCACTCTCTCTCCTTTCCAGCTGTGTCTCTTCTGTACGCTGTGCGCTGTCTTTTGGGTAAGTGATGGGGGCCCCGCTGGCTTTCTGTGGAGGTGAGGGAGTGTCATTTCCCCAGCTGAGAACAGCCTCGCTGGGGATTCAGAATGCCAGGTGATGACATGGCACCCCTGAGGTCTGGTATGGCAGTGCTCAGGAGTGTCCACCCGAGCCCAGACTCTGCAGCCTGGCTCAGCACCTGCATGGGGGCCTGGGCTCTTGGTGTCTGGGGAGCCTGCTGGGGCTGTGCTATGGCCCCATAGCTCGGGGGCGAGGGGGGAGGCTGCTGCTGAAATGGACAAGGGGGAGCTGGCAGGAAAATGGGTTACTGGATCCCAAGTCTGTTGGGAGGCCCTGTGGGAGGCTGGGAGTGCCCCCTGGTGTCGCCAAGTTCCCCGTGGCCCTTAGCTCCCTCCCGGCCGTGCCCACGGAAACCTGTTTGGGAAGCACGGTGTGTGTATAATGCCTTTAGCCCTCATCATCGGTGCTCTGGGGAGTCCGTGCTGAGCCTAGCTGTAGGAGGCCGTCACTCCTTGGTCGCCACGGACAGCGTCACACGGCGCCCTGCAGCGTCACACGGCGCCCTGCAGCGTCACACGGCGTCCTGCAGCGTCACACGGCGCCCTGCAGCATCACACGGCGCCCCACACGGAGCCCTGCAGTGTCACACGGTGTCCTGCAGCGTCACACGGCGCCCTGCAGTGTCACACGACGCCCTACAGTGTCACATGGCGTCCTGCAGTGTCACACGGCGCCCTGCAGTGTCCTGTGTGCGGGGCACAGCCTTCTGCACGTGCTCATGAGCTGTGGGTCACAAGTGCAGAAGTAAATGAAGATGAACCGTGACGAAGGAGGAGTGCCCAGAGTAGATTGTTTTCTTTCTGATGAGAGGATTGGTTTGATTCGCTTGAAGGTCAGGGTTACTTAGGGAGGCTGGAGCTCTTCCATCCGCTGGCTCACTCCCCAGTGGCTGCCCTGGCCAGAGCCTGGCCAGTGCGTTAGGGGATCCAGGGTCTTCCAGGTCTCCCATGTGGGTGCCAGGACCCCAAAACGTGGGCCATCCTCCACTGCCTTCCGAGGTGTGTTAATGGGGTCCTGGGTTGGAAGTGGAGCAGCTGGGACCTGAACCTGCACCCAGAAGGAATACTGCTGCTGCAGGCTGTGGCTGCTACGCCGTGGCACTGACCCCTCCCTTTAATTTGTACCCAGAGACTAACAGCTAGATCCTAGGTTTCCCCGTTGCTACTGGGACTTCTGTGCCACCCCATGCTGGCCTGTAGATCATTTAAGGATTGGTTGTATTGGAAAGGCAGATCAGATTTACAGAGAGGAGAGACAAGGAAAGAACTGGCACTGGTTCACTCCTCAAATGGCTACAGCAGTTGGAGTTGAGTGGATCTGAGGCCAGGAGCCAGGAGCCTCCTCTGGGTCTCGCCTGTGGACGCAAAGTCCTAAGGCCTCAGACCATCCTGCAGTGCTTTCCCAGGTTGCAAGCAGGGAGCTGGATGGGAAGTGGAGCCGCCGGGACATGAGCCAGCACCCACATGGAACCCCGCGGCCTTGTGGGATCCTGGCACTTGCAAAGTGAGGATTTAGCCATTACACTATTTTGCTAGGCCCTAAAATAGACAATTTAAAAATAACCATAGAAATTGTTTACATTATTTCAGAAGATAACAGTAAAATATTTTTCATTCAAACAGTAATTAAAGAAAAGGGACAAGAGAGAATGAGTAAATTCTTTATGGGCTGTAGAGCTCATGAGGTCTTCATGTGACTGCTAGCAAAGTGGAAGTTGAGTTTAAAACTTAAAAACTTTCAAGAAGTGGGTGCTGTGGGGTGAGCATCTGGTGCAGTTTGGGGTGCTGTGGGGAGGCCAGTGTCGGCGTCCCACACTGGGTGCCTGGGTTTGAGTCTAGGCTATGCCCCTGGTTCTGGCTTCCTGCTCATGACCCTTGGGTGGCAGTGGCTGGCACCTCCTTGCTGGCCAGTGGGAGAGCTGGCTGGAGCTCCCGACTCCTGGTGCCAGCCTTGCCCAGCTCTAGCTGTTGCCTGCTTCGAGGCAGTGACTCTGCAGGTTGCAGCTCTGTTCCTCTCTGCCTTTCAAATAATCAAAAAAGTCATTTTCAGCTTGTTTGCAGTTACTGCAGTTATGTTTATTGACTCAAATTAATGGGTGGTTTCAGAATGAAAACTGGGTATCTAAAAATTAGACTAACATAATAGCAGATGGATGGAGTTATCATCCATGTTTTTGAATGCAAGACAAACTTGAATGTGAAAACATTTTGTAAGTAATTTTTCTTCTTACTGTTCATAGTGGCACAAGAAGGGGTTGGCCTTACTATTCTGCATACTACAGTTCTTGTCAATGACCTGGTAAGCCACTTCCCGATCCGTCGTTACCTGAGAGCTCACAGGCCGGACCTCCTGAGGGCCGTGGGCGGGGGCTCGGGCAGGTCCCCTGGTGCCACCAGCATGGTGCGGGTGCGTCCGGAGCCTGGGAGGAGGTGGGCCTGGGCAGGGTCCTGGGGTCATCCTGAGCGACGGGGCTCGTGGCTGCTGCTGGCACCGCCATGTGGCACTGGGTGAAGTTCAGACACTTGATTTTCTCCTGCAGGTACAGTCTGTCCTACATCCCCTACGCAAGGTGAGCTGCTTGGAATTCTGTCATACTTCTGGACCTTTAGTTGTGTTTACACAGATTGAAGACTGTGGGTGGACTTGTGAGCTGGGGGGCCTGGGGGACCTGGGGAACGCTGTCTTCCTGCCTGAAGCTGTGCGGGTGGAGAGCTGACTGGGAGCAGGCCGGGAGCTGAGCTGACTGGGAGCTGACTGGGAGCTGACTGGGAGCTGACTGGGAGCTGACTGGCCAGATGGGGGCTGACCCCCCGACGTGATTCTGCTCTGAGAAGAGGGGCGGGGGGCCGGGGCTGGGCTGCCCCAGAGAAGCCGTGGGAAGGCAGGCTCACTTCGAGGTTAAAGCTGACAGAGCTAGACCAGGACGCTGGTGGGGCCCGTGTCACCCCGAGGTGCCCGGCTGTGCCTCGAACCGGGGCTGTAGCAGACGGAGTGCTCTGGCAGCCCCGCGGACGGCCCTGGGTGCTGAGCGGACGGCAGTTCAGGGCGTCGGCCCCTCCCTCAGCTCCATCGGCGGGGGTGCAGAACAATCCCCGAAAATGTTGCTAGACATGCGGAATGAAGTAGTGGTTCAGACGGAGAGACATGAAGGAAAAGGTGGCTTCTGGGGGCCCTAAGTCGTTTGCTTTCAGAAAGTAGTTTGCTACTTAGACTTGCTGCTTGTTAAGACCAGCACCTGTGCTGAGACACGACTTCTCAGGGTAACGTGATCCCAGCAGCGCGTGCGTGGGTCAGTGCGCGGGTGCGTGGGTCAGTGCGTGGGTGCGTGGGTCAGTGCGCGGGTGCGTGGGTCAGTGCGTGGGTGCGTGGGTCAGTGCGTGGGTGTGTCGTGCCGGGTCGGGCAGTGCGGGTGCGTGGGTCAGTGCGCAGGTGCGTGGGTCAGTGCGTGGGTGCGTGGGTCAGTGCGCGGGTGCGTGGGTCAGTGCGTGGGTGCGTGGGTCAGTGCGCGGGTGCGTGCGTGGGTGCGTGGGTCGGTGCGCGGGTGCGTGGGTCAGTGCGCGGGTGCGTGGGTCAGTGCGCGGGTGCGTGGGTCAGTGCGTGGGTGCGTGGGTCAGTGCGCGGGTGCGTGGGTCAGTGCGCGGGTGCGTGGGTCAGTGCCCCGCGCGGCAGCACCGCACTGGAGCAGGGATTCAGGCTCCCGCCCTCTCCCCCAGGGACGCGGTGATGAAGTGCTGTTCGTCTCTGCTGAGCTGAACGCGGCGTGGCCCCGCGTGACGGACCTTGCTTGGGGAAGGCGTCTTTTCCTGCAGCCGCAGGCTGGCCATTTTGTGTGCTGCTAGCAGCTGCCACATACCCGACTAAACCGTTCAAGTTTGTAACTTCAGCTCGCCGCACGTGCGCCCGTGCCAGCCGACGAGCCGGGCGGTGGTGAGCGCGCTGAGCCAGCCGCCCGGGGCAGCCTTAAACGGGGCGCTGACGGGAGGGCCTGGGCGCCAGGGCACTGGCTTGGTTGGCTTGTAAACATGTTTGCCTTTTCGAAGGCATCTTATTTTTGAACTTTAATGTGATACCTTTTACTTTGAAGCTAAAAATTGCTTATTATGGTGTAATAGAAAATAATATATAAATCTTTATATTTTGAAATAAATTTACCCTTGGAAAGTAACATTTTCTGGATCAAATGATTCCATTTCAGTAAAACTTGGTTCAGACACAATGCAGTTTTTCTGTAGCAAAATGAAAAAGAGGCCTTGCCCTAAACACGACCACTTAGTGCACGCGTGTGAAGGCCCTTGGGCTGGACCTGGCACAGGTCAGGGTATGGGAGGAGAGACCAGGGGCGCACGTGGCAAAGGTGGCAGCAGGGTGTGGGGGTGGCTGCTTCCTCCAGGGCAAGCCCAGCACCCCCGTCCTGAGGTGTCCCCTGTGCTGTGCCCCTCCCGGAGCCCCTCTGGCCTGGGGCTGACAGGTGTGTGGGGCGAGGGTGAGCAGACATGACCCTGGTGTAGACCCGGGGTCGGCGGGGCTGGGAGAGTGACCCTTGCACGGTTAGCCTGCTGACTGGTGAGGAGCTTACGGAGGGGACAGCAAGGTCCTTACGAGACGAGCTGTGGTGGCTGAGCCCTGTGGCCCGAGTGCGGCATCTGGGCGCGGTGGGAACCCAGGGCACCCCGGTCGTTGCAGCTGCTGAGGACTGCTGCGTCCCGCGTGCGGGGCATGTGTCCCTGCCGAGGGAGGACGGTGTGCGGTGTAGGGCTGTGCCCAGAGGTGTTATGCCCTGCACGGGCGCCCGCTCTGCAGCCTGGTTGTGCAGATACCACTGGAGGGGCGTGAGCTCCGCTGGCAGCAGCTCTGGTGACTAAAGTGACCGTGCCTCTCGGTGAGGGCCAGGCGTGTCCCCTGGAGGCTTGGTGAGGGCCAGGCGTGTCCCCTGGAGGCTTGGTGAGGGCCAGGCGTGTCCCCTGGAGGCTTGGTGAGGGCCAGGCGTGTCCCCTGGAGGCTTGACCTGCCACCTGCTCCTGGGGCAGGACCTGCAGAGGCCTGTGTGTAGCCAGGACTTTGCTCTCCATTGTGCCCTGCCCTCTCTGCAAACTGCTGGGGTCCGTGCAGTGGGTGTGGATGACACAAAGATGTGAAGAGAAGAGCGCCCCCGTGTGGCAAGGCCCGGGGGAGCTTACAGCTGTTAGGCAGGGCCTGGCGGAAGCCTCTGAGCACCTCGACGCTGTTTCACCCCTGGCTGCATGGACACGCAAGCACCCCACTGGGAATCCTGTAATCTATTGAGGCATTGTTGTTTGCTCCTGTGAGGCAGTGTTTGCAGCGGATGAGAGCTTGAGAGTTAATGTCACTGATAACGTCTTGGTGAGTGGGCCTTTGACAGTTTACACACAGGAGCACAATTAAGCCCGTGCCATTTCTGGACACTTTATTGTGTGCGAACCATTGCCTCAGAATCTGGCCCACACATGCAGCACTCCTTCTGGGAAGGGCTTGAAAATATCCTAAATATTAATGCAAGTGATGGGAGTGAGGGCTGAAACTGCTATGACAATAAATCTAGTCATGGTTATCTCAAAGGCTAGCCTGTCTTTGCAATTTTTTGGAATAAGGAAAATGTAATTGTTTAGCCGCTTTTATAATTTTAGCTAGAGGAATTAAGGACGCTTTTATTAAAGAATGCTTTTGATTATTGCTTCATTGTTTATGGGGTTGTAGAGTTTATAGTTGTAGAGGGATTTTATATTTGAAATTTCTGTTTTAGATTTTAGGTTTTTCCCTTGTAACCTATTTTCCCACTAAATGATGGGTAAATTGTAGAAATAGAAATGTGGTAGGCAGGTACTACTGATTAGCAGGTAATCGCATGTCCTTGGCCTTGGAGTCCTGGCTGCTGCTCCATGGCTACTGTTGAAGAATGAATAATAGCTTGCTTTGAAGAATATGAATACAGTATTTTGCAGAGTTATCTTTTTTTAAAAAAGATTTATTTATTTATTTATTGGAAAGTCAGATATACAGAGAGGAGGAGAGACAGAGAGGAAGATCTTCCGTCCGATGATTCACTCCCCAAGTGAGCGCAATGGCCGGTGCTATGCCAACCCGAAGCCAGGATCCAGGAACTTCTTCCAGGTATCCCATACGGGTGCAGGGTCCCAAAGCTTTGGGCCGTCCTCGACTGCTTTCCCAGGCCACAAGCAGGGAGCTGCATGGGATGTGGAGCTGCCGGGATTAGAACCGGCACCCATATGGGATCCCAGCACGTTCAAAGTGAGGACTTTAGCCACTAGGCCACTGTGTGGGGCCCATTGCAGAATTATCTTTAGGGACACCTGCTTAGCCCTGAAGTGCAGACGGAATGACCAAATGTCTGTACACGCCCCCTTAGTCTTGAAGTAAAAATAGAATAATTAGTTGTTTGTGTAGAGTCTTGTAAGGTGTCTGAGTAAATAAAAAGGACAGCTTTTCTTGAGCTGGTGTGAGAACGCACCAAGTGTCTGTGTCTGTGTCTTTCTTTATTGCCGACTCCACGCGCCCTTTCTGGGGATTCCAAACTCGGCTGGAGCTGGACTCCGGGAGCAAACCACTCACCTGCCTTGTCCCCACGCTCACCCTCACCTTCGTGCACACCCTCCCTTTTGCACAATTTCACCCTTGTACGCTTGCATACCCTCACCCACCTTGTAGGCACGCATACCCTCATCCTTGCACACACACCCCTCACCCTTGTCCCTGTGCTCACATACCCTTGGGGAAAGCAGGATTGAGACTACTGGGGGTGGGGCTGTGGGTCTGCCCAGCTGGACTTGCACAGGAATGCTGATTGCAGCCCATGTGTGAGGGTTCAGCTTGACCAGAGGCAGCGGCCAGCCTGCCTTCTGGAAGAAGTCAGCTGGAAAAACAGGGCATCCCAGCAGCCGATGGGGCAGGGACAGAGCCGCCTGTGGGGAGCAGAGAACCATGTGCCCCATCCTGAAGAGGAGCCTGGCCTTCGAGCCTCCTCTGGGGTCAGGGTTTGGAGCAGCGGGCACCCTGCAGGGACACCTGGAAGTGTGTGGCTATGTCAGAGCAGAAGGTTGCCAGTTGAATGTGGAGTGGCTCTGCCTGAAGGTGTCCCTGTTGGGTGGGGTGTGGCCTGAGGTGCAGAGGGACCCTCGGCTGCTGTGGAACTCCCAGGCTCCTTCTGCTTGGGACGATGGCTTCCGACCTGGCCTAGGAGGGGCAAGGTGACGGGTGCCAGGACATACCGAACCTTGGGGACAGGGAGGGCCAACGGTCACTGTACGCGGATAAAGCTGGCCTGGGGCTGATACCCCAGGGATGTGCCCTGCTGGCTGGCCCTGCTCAGGGCCTGGCCAAGTACAGAAGGATCCAGTCAAGTCCGCTCTGCTCCCTTCCCTGGGGCCTGAGGCAGGAGGCGAGGTCCCAGGCACCCCAGAGCCTGAGAGCGGGAACTGGCGGCAGACCTGTGTCCTTGGCAGGAGAGGACCAGTGGGCCTGCAGAGGCCTGTGCTGGCACCTTCCTTTTGGGTGGCATCTGTTTGAGCTGGAAACAATCCAGCAGGAGGGTTCCCCGCATGACGGACTTCGGGGATCAGCCTGCGCTCACGTGCAGGGTGAGGCTGCTTCCAGCGTGATCTGACACCGAGCTCTCATGGTGAATGTTCCTTTCGTTTGAAGCCGTTTTGGAACCACCTGCACCACAGTGTTGGCTGGGCTTCTCTGCACGAGCTCCCTGTGCGTGTACACTTGGCCTATGTATGTTTTTCCCCTTAAGATTTATTTATTTTTATTGGAAAGGCAGCTATAGAGAGAGAAGGAGAGACAGAAAGATCCTCCATCTACTGGTTCACTCCCCAAGTAGTCGCAACAGCCAGAGCTGAGCTGTACAGAAGCCAGGAGCTAGGAGCTTCCGTATCTCCCATGCGGTGCAGGGTCCCAAGGCTTTGGGCCATTCTCTACTGCTCTCCCAGGCTACAGGCAGGGAGCTGGATGGGAAGTGGAGCGGCCGGGATATGAACTGGTGCCCATATGGGATCCTGGTGCTTCAAAGACAAGGATTTTAGCTGCTAGGCTACCATGCCAGGCCCTGGGCCTGTGTTTTTAAATAAAAGCTTTATAGAACACAAACTCCATCTGTCACACGGAAGATGACTTACCGCTGGGGCTGTGAAGCATACAGACAGTGCCATGGAGTCACCTCAGCGAGCTCGGCAAGGACGCCGTGTAATGGAAACAGGAACCTTCCAGCAGAGCCTCTGACGTCCCCTCGTGTGCTCCCGGGTCCTCTCCCCGAAGCCAGCGCCAGGTCCTTGCTTCAGGTGTGGAGAGCTCGCTGTCAGCTGGGGTTAGGGTCAGCCACGGGAGGGCACGCCCAGCGGGAACGCACGGTGTGCCCTGCGTGCCTGTGTGTTTCTGAGAGCCTGTTAACCCCCTTGCTCAGCGCTGCTCATCGCATCGGGAGCCATGCTGTGATGGCCAGGACTGAACCTAGCAGGTGTCGAGGGCCAGCCTTCCACGGGCTGCCCTTCCCTCTCTGCTTTGTTTTAGAAAATACTGCCTTCCCCCAGCCTCATTAAAAATATACTAAGCAATTGTTTGTTAGCATCCACAGGTCAAGTCCACAGCCTAAGCTTTTCCGAGCTCTTAGTAATGATGGATAAGAGGACGCCTTGGCATCGGGGCGGGGGCAGGATGTGCTCCCAGCCCACCGCCCGCACGGGCCCCTGGGCAGCGGTGGGTGGTGCCTGCTTGGTTGGCTTCGGTTTGCTCAGCTATGACGTGTGCGACGGTTGGTGCTTCTCCCCCAGGACTTGATGTGCAATGGACGCTGCTTACCGTCACCGGGCAGAGGGACCGGCCTCTTTGGAATGTCCTGGACAGGTGCCGCTCCTAGGCCTTCTGTGGACATTCTTCAGCCGCTGACAAACTGTGCTTCTAAGTAACGCAGTGGGGTCTTCAGAAACTGGAATGAGTTTTTCCTGGTTTAAAATTCAGGTTTAGTTTTGGTTCCAGACATTTGACTACTTGCTGCTCTATCAATAAAATGATTCACATCAAAGTACAGAAATGGGTGGGTGTCTGGTCGGGGTCCCGCTGCTGCTTGGGACGCGCCCTCTGGGGAGTGAAGCAGCCGAGGGAAGAGCTCTGTGCCTTTCAAGCACATAGAAGCAAGAAGGACATACAGGCGGAGTTTAGCAGATGGAGGGAGTGTTTTAAAGTGTGCTGAGCTGCTTTGTGCTCTGCAGTTTCCTGAGCAAGCACATGCCCAAGGATAAGATGCCTTGGCAAACCGACCGACAAGTTAGAGTGGACACATTTCATAGCGACAGTTCAGTTCCTGGTGGGATGCGACTTGAGCCGGCCAGCACCCAGTGTGTACCTTGCTCCTGTCCAGGCCTGCCCTGCAGTGATGAGACAGCATGAGGGGTCGTTCCAAGTCTGGTCATAGCATGCGCTGTGCGTGTACTCTGGGTCTTGGCCCCCCAGCTCATCCTTGGGGCCCAGCCTCCTCTGCCTGCAAGCTCCCCTCTGCTGAGGGGTCATGGTTCTGGCCCAGGTGCACATGCCTGCCCCAGACGGCTGCAGTAGTGGTGGGGGGCAGAGGCTGAGATGTGCCCGGCCCAGAGCTGTCATCCACCGTCCCACAGGGCCACCATGCGGTCAGGAAGCAGAAGAGGGAGACCCTGGCAGTCCAATCAGAGGGACCACTGACCCCGTGAGCTTTGGGAATGCTGGGCTGCACCCTCAAGTGGGTGTGAGCATGTCCAGTTGTCAGTCGGTGTCCCTCCAGAATCCATCTCTCCAGGCCTTGTTCCTGCTGACACACCTGTTGCGTACCAGGGAATGCCACGGCCTGAGTGGTAGGCAGTGTGTGCTTGCCAAGCCTTCGGCCTGAGTCCCAACATGCAGAGCCGGAGCTGGTAAAGGCTCTGCAGGGCAGTGTGAGCTACAGGGCTTGGGCTGTGTGCGGAGTGCCCGGAGGCAGCAGTGCAGGGCTGCGTGTGTGTACAGAGAGCCCAGAGGCAGCAGTGTAGGGCTGTGTGTGCAGAGTGCCCAGAGGCAGCTGTGCAGGGCTGGGGTGGGGCTGAACTCTCCATGCTCTGAGTAGAGCATCCTCCCCCTGTCGGCCTCCCCGACAACTCTGGTCCCAGCAGCATCGGGCCCCCTGTAGCAGTAGATGCCACAGGGACACGGCGGGACCCACTGCTCCTCACGGCCACTGTGTTCCTGTGTGTGCCCAGAAAGGCACGCCTGAGGGGAGAGACTTTCAGAGACCTGTGTTCTCAGGATGCCCGAATAACGGGATTGTATGCATGGCACTGTGTGTGTGGGCTAGTGGTTCAGGAGCACAGGGACAGCTTACATGTGTGTGCAGTTAGTTCAGTCAGTTGCACATGGTCATACATGTACCTTGTAGAAATGCCTGCCTGTCACAGAGTGTGTGGAGGTGTTGGCGGGTCTCACTCCTCCGAGTCCCTGCTGTGGTCCCGAGCTTTGCCCCTAGCTGGGCTCACTGCAAGGATGGGACACCTAGAATTCTTGTCATTAGTAAAAGTGGGCTGTTTACAGGTGGGAAATGGGGCTGTGAAATGACAGGGTCCCACAAGGATTGGCTCCCCAGGTGCCCCACCGCCAGGTCGCCGGCTTCCTCTGTGATGCCAGAATGGTGCTAGCGCGGCTACGCCAACCCACCGCATCGCATCACCAGCGCGATCAAGGCCCTGGGGCTGGGAGGCGACCCCGCCTGTCACTCCGGAATTAACATCGGCCTCCTGCCATGGGCCGGCCGGCTGGGGGAGCCCTGGGACGCCAGGCCCCGAGCACGCCCTCCCCGCGGTCGGGCACTCAGTCCGCCGCTTTCACCACTTGGTCGTGACAAAGGGCGGGCGAGGCCAGGGACTCGGCACCCCGTGCCCTCCGGAGCGCCGGCTCCTCCTCCTCCAGTCGCCGCCCGGCCCAACCCGGCGCGTCCGGCAGCACCCGGACTCGCCCCGCAGTCGGCAGCTGCCGGCCGAACGCCAGGGTCCACACAAGCCCTGGGAGCGTCGGGAGCGTCGGACCCCCAGCCCCAGGAGGCGGGACCTGGTGCGGGCCTGGCACGGCGATGTGAGGCGGCTGGAGACACGAGGGCTGCCAGCAGGTGGGTGTGCCGGGCGCGCGGCGGCCGACTGGGGAGGTCTGCGCGCCCGCTCGGACCCGCCCTCCTCGCAGCGCCCTGCCGACCCGCGCCCGCTCGGCCACGCCATGCCCTTCCAGCCCAGGCCGCCGCCCGCCCCAAGCTCGGGGGGTGCCGCCGCGCGATCGCCTCCTCGGAGGCCCTGCGCGCCGCCCGTGGCTGCGGCGGAGAAGAAGAGGAAGCCCCCGGAGCGGCCCGCGGCGCCCCTCTCCAGCTCCTGGCCCTCGGCCACGCTCAAGAGGCCGCCGGGCCGACGCGGCCTCGTCCCCGGCCCGAGCAGGACGCAGCCGCCGGCCCCTCCGCGCTCCCCGCGCCAGGCCTCGCCGGTCCGCGCGGGGGCCCGGGCCACGTGCGCCACGCCCCGGCCGGCTGCTAGCGGCCAGAACTCGGCGGGGCCAGAACTCGGCACAGGTCCCGAGTCCGACGACGCGCTGCGCTTCTCGCTGAACCTCACGCCCGAGGCCATCCTGGTCATCCAGAGGCGCCACCTGGAGAAGCAGCTGCTGGCGCGGCCGCGCAGGCCCTTCCCCTCGCCCTCGGCCCCGGGAGCCCGCGCCAAGGCCGCCGGCCCGCGGAAGGGTGGCCCCACCACCAGCGGCTCCGACGCGCCCCCGGCGGCGGGCCCGGCTTACCGCCCTGCGCAGCGCACCCCACGGCCGTCCGGCAGCCCACGGCCCGCCGACCTGCGCCAGATGCTCAAGGTGTCCCTGCTCAACGAGCGGCACCGGTACGACGACGTGGACTACGAGGAGGAGCCCGCGGCCCCCGATGAAGGCGTGATGCGCAAGTGCACCGAGTGGCTGCGCGGGGTGGAGTCGGCGGTCGCTGGCCGGCAGCGCGCAGGGCGCCTGGGCAGCCTCCCGCACATGAGCACACTGTGAGCTGCAGCCGAGAGCCCCGCCCCCGCCTGACGCCCACCTCACTGTGGGGAGGCACCTGGCAGCGCCCAACGCTACCTCCTGGACTTGGTACTGGGCTGGGGCGCCAAGAGGGAGACCTGTACCCTCCCGGACGCACCTGTGAGCCGAGTCGGCCCCTGCCTGCCTCTCCCTCTTTCCTGCGAATCCTGCCTGTGGTATCCCCCCACCACCTCTCGGGCCCCGCGGGTGTTCTGGCCTCCGCCAAGGTCCTTCTCAGGTCCCGCCCTCACGGCTCCTGTGCAGCTGGGGGCGAAGGCTCGCCCGTCCCTGGGTACCACGCGCGGGAGAGCGGGAATGCAGTGCTACCTTTGTGCTTTTTTCTTTTTTTCTCAACAAAGTCAGCTGTGTCGCCAAGTCTGGAAAATCGAATTACTCTTCCGTCTCCAGCGGTGACACAGTAGCCACCTGGAACCAGGCAGCATCCCGGCTTCGTGCTGTGTGCATGTAGCGCGCCCACCATGCACCGGCTGGCGCTCAGCCTCACTCACACACAGGTGCACTCGCATCTTCATGAGGCGGTCGGTCTGTTTACAGTTCCCACATTGATGGGGAGGAGGAGTGAGGGCCTCTGTTGCTAAAAACAGCCAGTTTCCCTGCAGGGCTCACAAGAAGGCTTTTGTGTTAGGCAGGGAGAACTAACAGGGTTCCAAGGTGGGACCTCAGGGGGAAGGAGCAGGCCGCGGGTGGGCTGGGGTGGCTGGCTGCAGCCCTTTTAGTCAGGGTGGGAATCAGGCTGGCCGTGTGCAGGTCGTGTTCAAAGTTGTGTTGATTGGCGGGAAGGCCTGCTCTTCACTGGGGGTTTGTGTTTTTCTGGGGGGGCGGTCTTGGTGCCAGCCCTCGTGCTCCACGTGCTCTGGGCCGTGTCTGAGTCTGGTGGGCACTGTGACCTGTGGCCAGTCCCTGGCAGGTGCAAGGCTGGAGGAGGGGCTGGCTCTGTGCTCTGGGGCAGTGCAGGGTGGAGACATGGCCTGGCCCTCAGGGCACACACCAGTGAGGGACATGGCCGGAAGTCCACCCCCCTGGCAGCTCCCTGGTTCAGCCTCTGTGTGCTGCAGACCCAGGAGTGCCCGGAGTGTCCATCCCACTGTCCCAACTGGTGACAGTGCTAGGCCCACTTGCACTGGGCTTCACCAACTGGAGCCAGGTGCCTTGTTCTCCTGGGGGTACAAGTGTGTGGGGGGCCCAGGGCACTGCACCTGCTGCGTGCTCACTGCAATGATGGCCATTTGAGGAAGTCCCTGAGTGACTGTGTGGTTTCTTGGTGTATAAATAAAGCAGGAAGTCACTGGTGAGTGTTTCCTTGTGTGCGTGTTGGCAAGAGGAGGTGTGGTGTTAGGAACCAGTCAAGACTGGCCTTTGCAGCCGTTATCTTCGTTGTCAATGATGACCGCATCTCACAGGGACGCCTGGCCACAGCTGGAACCTTTCCCCAAGAAGGTTGCACTCCCAATAACACACTGCTGAAGTTATGTGCCACGCAGACAGCAACAGTTTGCATGCCATTTGCACGCATCTCACAAAGCTTACTGACTCCCTGGTTAAGATGTCCTCCTGTGTACGCCCACACAGGCAGTAGCTCATGCTAATTTGAAGTTCCTGGATAGCTAGCACCATGCCATGGCATGCTAAGCCTCTGCCTGTGGTCCCAGCATCCCATTGGGCACCAATTCAAATCCCGGTTGCTCCACTTCTGGTTCAGCTTCCTGCAGATGGTCTGGGAACGCAGCAGAGGACAGCTAGGGTGTTTGAGGCCCTGCAGCCACATGGGGCACACGGAGGAACTTCCTGGCTCCTGTCTCCACGTGAGCAAAGCTGCAGCCATTGGGGCCATCTGTGGAGGAAGCCAGCAGATGGAAGATCTCTGTCTCTCCTTCCCTCTGTAAGTGCCTTTCAAAGAAAAAGGAATATTAAACACACCTGGAAGGCCACACACATCAAAAGTGCCAAGAACAGATGTGGCCTAGAGCCAGAGGGTTACTGAAACTGTGGCTTGTCTGGACGCCTTGGGGCCGTGGAGGCTTCTCAAGGCCGGCAGCCTGCTGCATCTCTGCTCACTGGCTCTCAGTGAGGTGATGGGCTTGTCCAAGCTGTTCCCCAGCAAGGGCGGGGGACGAAGGGCCCTTCCAGAGGGATCCGTGCATGTGAGAGAGGGTATTGCGGGCCCCGTGTGGCCAGGAGCCTGGGCATTCTTGAGTAGAGGGTGCATACTCCCACAGCAGCATCCTGCGGGTTACGGCTGGTGTGTGCCGGTCTGCTTTGTAGCTGGAAGAAGTTTGTGCGCAAATGCCAGGACCATGGTTCTGGTCTGTTTCAGGTGGGCAGTTAGGGGCCTGGCCGAGGTCTGTGTTGTCCCTGTCTGTGTTACTATGGTCTCGTCAGCCACTGTGTTGTTACCCCGACAGTTGCACAGGCCAGGCTGTGGCCTGCATCTTCAACTGCAGAGCCAGCTGCTTCACTTCTGGGCCAGCTTCCTGCCAAGGCAGCCTTGGAAGCGGCAGATTCAGATACTTGGGACCTTGTCACCTATGTGCCAGGACCCAGATTTCACCCTGGCCTGGCTGTCAACATTGGCATCCTAACTGGCACTGGCTTCAGACCCGACCTAGTTCTCTGTGAACACCCCTGGGAAGCAGTGCGGGACGGTCCAGTGCTGGATGCTGCGGCACTGGGGGGTGCCAACAGATGGAAATGGGGTGAGCCAACAGATGGAAGGGCTCTCTCACTCTGCATCCTTTCTCTGCTGCTGACTGTCCGTCTGCAGTCTGGCTGTCGCTACCAGTTAGTGGCAAGGAGGATGTTGCCTTTTTTTTCTCTCTCTGTGGCCTTCTTGCACCTGGCAGGAGGCAGCTGCCTGAGGGGCAGGGCTGGCTCAGGGGTCCACCACCCCAAAGCTGTGTGGTGGAACCGTTTACCCACAGTGCTCAACAACACCACAGCCTTGGTGTCTGAACGCGATCCTTCGAACCTGCAGGGATGCTGAGGGTTGCCCTTCCGTGCCCGAAGCAGAGAGGCCAGCACACTGAAGTTCAGGTGACCACTCAGAATCGGCAGAGCAGGGGGGCTGCTGGGCCATTGTGGTGAAAGTGGGGACACCCCATCTCAGGTAGTGCTCAGCCACAAAGCAGAGGCTGCCTGGCAGACCGCAAGGAGTGAGCTCAACAGGTGTCCTGGCCGGAGACTAGCCCAGCCTTCCTCCTGTTGCCCCGGGAGTGGCATGGACCCTGATGTTCTGCCAGCACTGCCAAGCGCTGGGTTGTGCCCAACCCTGCAAGACACTCCCCACTGTCTCTGTCACCGCGTGTCTCAACTTCGCTCCCTGCTGTCCCTCATGGCTGCGTGTCTCATCCTCTGGCACCAGTCCTTGGTCTGAGCCTCGCGTCCTGGCAGCCCAGAGCGGCCCGGGAACAATGGCACCAAAGAGCTCGGGGACAAGCACTGCCTTGTGAGCTTCCTCACGGGCAGCGTCCCTGTGGGGGCTGCTGGAGATGGCAGCTCCAAGCAAACAGTCCAAAGACAAGGGGCGGACACACCTGGGCCTGTGCAGGATGTGGGGACCGACTGTGGAGAGCTCAGCTCAGCAGGTAGACCGCCACGTGCACCGTGCGGTTTTGTGCTGACTTAGGCCTCGGGTGGCTGTGGCCACTATGTCAGCGGGAGGTCAGTTTATATCCACTGGTGGCTCTGCAGAGTTTGAAATCACCAGCACCTTGTACGGTAACACCTGTCTGGGCCCGGGACCCTGTGGTGCCTCAACATTAACTCCACTTTGGCATGGGTGACGGGGCGATGGCCAGAACATGCAGGAATGTGCTTGGCATATTGCACACAGAATACAGTGGGAGGGGACCGTGTGCCCATGGCAGGAGGAGACAGGAGTGGGTTGCACTCTTGTGTGTTACACATTGCTGCAGGGGGAGTCTGGTTGACCCCAGCCTGGACCCTGCAGGCACACGGGCTGAAGCAAGGGGAGGGGAGGGAGGGCTGCAGGGGTGTACTTGCTTCCTGTAAGTTCCTGGGATGATTTGTCAAGGGCAGAGGGGTGGGCAGGGAGTTGGCAAGGGAGGCAGATGGCAGGACGGGCGCGAAGGGTAGAAGGTAGAGGCAGGGCTGCTGTCCCCGGCTGCTCTGCACCGCAGGCCCTGGAAGGAGAGAGCACTGGGCACGGGGGACCAGGGCCAGCTTGCTGGGCTGGCTGGGGCTCCAAGGGCCCCTTGCCCGTCCACCATGCTGCCCAGCCCATCCTCCAGGTCCAGTGGAGTCCGCAAAGCACTAGGCAATCCCATCTGTCTAAGGGAAGCAGATGAGGACCACTCGCGTCTGCGCACATAGCCGGGGTCTGCAGCCATCCTTCCTGCACAGGGAGGGCTGGGCGAGGACAGGTTGAGGGGGCAAGGTAGACACGAGGTGATGGGCAGGGAGAGATGGAGCAGGGGAGGTGGGGTGCAGGGTGGCCTGTCACTGTCAGGACACCAGTTGGGTGTCACTGGGGAGTCTCAGGGCTTCCCTGAATGGAAGTCCTCCGCTGTCCCCCAGACCCCCAAGGGAGCTTGCTTTGGCCGTGCTGAGGGTGTGGCCGTGTGAGTGTGTGGCACCGGGAGCAGCCTGCAGCGGTCCCCTCCTCGGCTGGGCACAGCCTCACAGAGCTAGAAGTCGATCACCCCAGCTTCGAGGGTGGGGCAGGGCCGCATCACGCGAGGGCCCTCAGTGACTCAGTGAGAGGCAGGCAGCGAGGAGAGGCCCAAACACACCCCTGGAATCACACTGGGAAGCCCACCCCAGGCCTCATCTCCTCCTGAAGGCCCTACCCCCGTGCTGTTACCATGGCAACCAAATCCCAACAGGTGTTGGAGGAGCCCCTCCTCCCCCTGTTGCAACTGATGGCCAGGCTCTCAGTGAGGGATCCCACAGGCCGCTTGCTAAGGGGGGAATCCCACGGTCCCCTTGCTAGGGGGGGATCCCAC